GTTCAACAAATCGATGCAGCACTGGAAGTGCTCGCTCGTCTATGCCAAGAAATTTGGAAGACAGTTACCTGGCCACCTGACTGGAAGAGATCCACATTTGTGCCCATTCCAAAGAAAGGTGATCCAACAGAATGTGGAAATTATCGAACAATACCATTAATATCACAGGAAAATAAAGCTTTGCAGAAGATCATTCAAAAGCAGTTGCAGCAATACATTCACAGAGAACTGCCAGAAATTCAAGCTGGATTCAGAAGAAGACATGGAACTAGGGATATCATTACTGATGAAACAAGGAAGAGCCATATGTTATTGTTACCAGTGTCGGAGGGAACTGCTGTGTGGGTTGAGAGTTTCTTTTCTCAAAGGTAGTTTTGGTGCAACTAACTAGTTCAAAATTTCCAATTTGAAGTTCTCTTTTGGTGTCACCATTCACCCTTATATGTGGCTATCTTTCAGGTTCATAGCTGGTCCCAGTGCGAGGTGGCAAAGAGAAATGGCAAGCATCAAATTTTTTTAAGTGTACATTAGTTAAATCAGTACAATAGTTGTTAGTAAAATTTAGTTTAATACTGATGACTTTCCTGAGAAAATGTCATTTTAGAAACTTTTTATTTTTTAAATTGTTTTATTGTGGTTAAAAAATATATGTAAAACAAAACATCTGCCCATACAACATTTTTTTACATGGACAATTTAGGGACATTGATTACATTCATCATGTTGTGCAACCATTACCACTGTTCATTTCTAAATTATTCCTCTGTCATTGACAGAAACTCAGTGCCCCCTAAGCAACGATTCCCACTTCCTTCCTTCCTCCCACCTCTGGTAACTGCTAATAAACTTTGGTCTCTATACATTTGCCTGTCCTCGATATTTTGTATAAGAGGGAACATACAATATGTGTCCTTTTGTGACTGATATTTCACTCAGCATAATGTTTTCAAGGTTCTTCCTTATAGCATGTAACAGGACTTCATTCTTTCTCCTATTTTAGTGGAATTAATAATAAATGATTTTCTGATCACTTCCTCACTTAAAAGGGGATATAATAGTTTAGATGCAAAAAAATCAATTTCCTCTCATATATCTTCAAGGTAGAAGACAAAACTAAGAGTCTCTGTAAGTGCACGCACACACACACACACACACACGCACGCACGCACACACACACAGACACACAGCCATGCACCGCACAACATCCGTTCTGGCAACCTCGGACCACATATATGTCCGTGGTCCCATGAGGTTATACAGCACCAGGAGGAGTAAGAGCCTGCAGCTCTGCTCCACAGAAGAGCGAGGGAAGGAGACGTGCGGACGTTATGTGATTTGGCCGTTGTGCAGACATCATGTGTACGTGCTCGCCTCCTTCCGGTACCCTTCCCCCTCGGCATGCCACTCGCTCGGGTGCAGGCCCGGCTGCCCCGGCCCTTGTTCTCCTCCTTCCTCCTTCCTCCTTCCTCGAGAGCCTTTCTTCCTCCCTAGTTTCTGCAGGGGGTGGGGCCACAAGCTCCTCCTCTCCCTGGCACTGTATGACCTTATGGGACCACAGATGTGCATGCGGTCAGTGGTTGCCCAAACAGACGTTATGCAGCGCATGACGTGGTATTCCCACAACGTCCAAATCACATAATGCCCTATTTCCCAGAATGTATGGCGGACGTTAAATGACACATGACTGTATATATGTATGTATGTTGTCGTTAGGTGCTGTAGAGTCAGTTCTGACTCCTAGCGATCCTATATACAACAGAGTGCCTGGTTCTGTGCCATCCTCAAAATTGTGTGTGTGCGTATGTGTGTGTAGTTGGTGTTGTCAAGTTGATTCCCACTCGTGATGACTCCATGTGTGCAGAGTAGAACTGTGCTCTATAGGATTTTTAAGGCTGTGACCTTTCGTAAGCAGATCACTAGGCCTGTCTTCTGAGGCGCCTCTGGGTGTGTTCAAACTGTCAACCCTTTGGCTCGTAGTAGAGCGCTTCACTGTTTGCACCACCCAGAGACGTACACACACACACACACACACACACGCACAAGTATATATATATTTTTCCTTATTTACTTGCTTTGTTATATTCTATTTAGCCAAGTAAGTAAATAAGAACTTTAGGCAAGCACAGTTTTTTAGTATTTTTTTCCTGATTTCCCTACTGCTTGTGACCTTATCTCTAACCTAAGAAGGAAAAATAAAATTTCAGAATTTCACATGACATTTGGTTGTCAGTTTCAGTAAAGTTGAGTGTAAAATTTCAAGTTGGTTGTTACCATCAATGTGTGGTATTTTATTTATATGTAACAGTACCTGGCTATGTTTGTCCTTTGGAAGATTCTTACCTCATGATTTTATAAATGAGAAGCAAGATTCCTGTCTTGCAGAGTTTTCACATACCGTGCTGATAAAGTTAAAAGTCAGCTTGGAGGAACATATTTCTCCTCACTTTCCAGTGAAAGTTTAAATTCAAGATATGTTCATTGTGAATTTTTTGTTCTGAGTTTCTTTATGGGTCCAGCATAACAGGTATTCTGAAAAAAAAATTGAAGCAGAAGGACATTCGGAATCTTTTGTCTCTCTCTGCTTTCTAGGAAAAATGTAATTGATTTTCTTTTCTGCAGGAATGAAAATTAGAGCTAAAAGCTCCTTGCTATATTTAGTACCAGTCTTAAGTTGATATTAGGAAATCAGTGTTAGGAACTCATTCACAAGAATTGAATATGATACAACTTCTTCTCTGGAAAAAATACATTTACTTGTTACTAGTGTTCTTTGAAATTCTCTGTACTTTACCAAAAAAACCCAAAGGATACTGTTTATTTGCTTTATAAATCTCTACTTGTTTGCTAGACTGCAGTGACTTCTCAGATTCTCCCCTGTTGGAGCACCTTGTTGAGTAAGGGAATATTACAACATACTACTATAGCCTACTCATTCGCTTTCACACATCCCAAACTTTAATAATGCAATACCAGAAGATAAAAAAGAAAGAAGAGAGAGACTAAGAGTAAAAATGTCATTGGTAGTTTAGGCACATCTGTTTCCATTTTCCCATAAGATAGATTAGTATAAAAATAAATAACACACCAGAAGATAAACTAGATAACTGAGAGCTCCTAAAAATTAAACAATTATGCTCATTAAAAGAGTTCATCAACAATTAAAAAGAACCTACAGACTGGGAAAAAAATTTTGGCTACAACATATCCGACAAGGATCCAATCTCTAAAATCTGTAGACTACTTCAACACCTCAATAACAAAAAGACAAATAATCCAATTAAAAAATGGGTAAAGAATATGAACAGGTACTTCACCAAAGAAGATGTTCAGGCAGCTGAGAGACACATGAGGAAATGCTCTTGATCATTAGCCAATAGAGAAATGCAAATCAAAACTATGATGAGATACCATCTCACCCTGACATTTACTGGCACTAATTTAAAAAAAAAAAACAAAAAACAAATGTTGGAGAGGTTGCAGGGAGATCGGAACTCTTATGCACTGCTTGTGGGAATGTAAAATGGTACAAACACTATGGAAAATGATATGGTGCCTCCTTAACAAGCTAGAAATAGAAATACCATACGATCCAGCAACCCACTCCTAGGAATATATCCTAGAGAAATAAGAGCCGTCACACGAATAGACACATGCACACTCATGGTCTTTGCAGCATTATTCACAATAGCAAAAACCTAAGTGCCCATCAACAGATGAATGGGTAAACAAATTATGGTACATATAGAACAATGGAATATTATACAATGATAAAAAAACGATGACTCTGCGAAACATCTTGTAACATGCATGCATCTGGAGGGCGTTATGCTGAGTGAAATAAGTCAATCACAAAAGGACAAATATTGTATGAGATCACTGTTATAAAAACCCAAGAAAAGGTTTTTACAGAGAAAAAAAGCAATCTTTGATGGTTACAAGGGAGGGGAGGGCTGAGGAGGGGAGATCACTAACTAGATAGTAGACAAGTGGGTAGACAACGCACAGTATAGGGTTAGGTCAGCACAACTTGACCAAGGCAAAATCACAGAAGCTTCCTAAACTCATCCAAACACCTTGAGGGACAAAGTTATTGGGGCTGAGGGCTGGGTACCATAGGTCAGTTGGCATAACATAGTTCATAAAAAAATGTTCTGCATCCTACTTTCATGAGTAGCATCTGGGGTTTTAAAAGCTTGCAAGTGCCCATCTAAGATACATCTATTGGTCCCATCCCATACAGAGCAAAGGAGAATGAAGAAAACCAAAGACACAAGGAAATTATTTGTCCAAAGGACTAATGGACCACATGAACCACAGCCTCAGCCAGCCTGAGACCAGAAGAACTTGATGGTGCCCAGATACCATCACTGATGGCTCTGACAGGGATCACAATAGAGGGTCCTGGACAGAGAGGGGGAAAAATGTAGAACAAAATTCAAATTCACACGCACACAAAAGACTAGACTTAGTGGTCTGACAGAGACTGGAGAACACCAAGACTGTGGCCCCCAGACACCCTGCTATCTCAGAACTGAAGCCACTCCCAAAGTCCACCTTTCAGTCAAAGATTAGACAGGCCTATAAAACAAACAATAACACACATAAGGAACATGCTTCTTAATTCAATAAAATATACAAGACCAAATGGGTAACACTAGCCTGAAAGCAAAGATGAGAAAGCAGGAAGGGACAGGAAGACTGGACAAAAAGACACAGGGAACCTGGGATGTAAAGGGAAAGGAGGAGAATGCTGACACAACGGGGGATTGCAACCAATGTCACAAAATAATATGTGTATAAATTTTTGAATGAGAAACTAGTTGGCGCTATAAAGTTTCACCTAAAACACTATAAAATTAAAAAAGGAAAAAATACGTAATGAATTATCGATTGAGGAAAAAAATGACTGAGATACTGTGTTACATAGAACTTCATATCTAGATTTTCTTTGCTTGCTATTTTCGGTTTTCCCACAATAGCTCTTTGTTTTCCTCCCACAGTAAGATATTTCCCAAAGGCCTTCCTGAGGAATACTCTGTAGCAGCCATGTTTCGTGTACGAAGAACCACCAAAAAGGAACGGTGGTTTCTATGGCAGGTTTTAAACCAGCAGAATATGCCACAGGTAAGGAGCCATGAGAGTTTTGCTTGTTCATTTTCTCTAGTGTGAAGCTGGGTGACTCTTTGAGCCATGTGTACAAATTTGGGAATAAATCTAGTATCAGAATATTCTGTCTTTTAGAGGAATCATCAACAGGGAAATGCAAGTATTCTCATAGTTAAGATGATCTTAATGAGATCTGTAGCATGAGTCTGATGAGTGAGACAGGATTTTTTTTTCCGTTTCTGGATTCATGAATTATCTCAAGACCCTCCTTGATTTGAACTGCCCTTCCTTCGCAAATTATTGACTAATTCTACCTCACTGGCACAGTGGTTAAGGGCTCCGTGCCTAACCAAAAGGTCGGCAGTTCAGATCTACTAAGTGCTCCTTGGAAGCCCTATGGGGAGTTCTACTCTGTCCTATAGGGTCACTATGAGTTGGAATCGACTCAATGGCAATGAGTATAATAACCTTTTTGCCTCCTGCCATCTCTAATATTGTATATTATTTTTTAAAGCTGTTCATTGTTTTGTTGGACAATCTTTGGTGAATTAAGAGGTGAGATTTAAATATTCTGTCAGTAAATATTTATTGAACACATGTTATATGTTAGGCTCTGTGAGTAGTGATAAGGATAAGAAATTTCAGAAACATAACCCCTATTCTCAGAGAGCATAATACCTAAGATGGCATCTAGGAGAAGAGCATAATACAGCATAATTATAACACAGTGTGTCATAGGTGCAATAGTAGAGGTAAACTCAGAGTGGGGTGAGAACTATGGAACATAGAAAGGATAGCTCAACAAAACTAGAGGCAGGAATCTAGAAGGTTTGTAGAAGGGATGATATATGTGCTGAAAGGAGGGGATGTGGACACTCTGGGGAGGGAGGATTAACCTCAAAATTGCTCGTTGGTATCATGTTTGTGTTCACTTCTGTATATATCAATTAAAAGGTTTTCATTTTTACTGGTATTTTAATCTGTTAATACAGTCACAATTTTATGATAGGAAGATGAATTGAAATGAAGGAACATCTCCTCTAAGAAATACATTTTCTCTTCACTGTGAGAATGATCAAAGGTTAAAGAGGTTGATCATAGTTTCCATGCTAATTGAAATGATCATATTCTTACTCTTCTTAAATTAGTAACCTTTAATTATTATACTGAATACATATATTATCTCAGGTGTTCCCATATCTAAATAATTTTTGTAGCGGGGTGTTTCCTGTTCCTTTTATATCAACAAATCTGGAGAAAATAGGAGTCATCTAAAACATTATAGTAAGTGCATCAGTTGTACTAACATGCAACTTGAGCTTTATGTGTGTGTTTTAATAATTTTGAACATTGCTTTTCAAACATTTAAAGATAATTTGTATTTATTCAGGTTTCTATAGTAGTTGATGGTGGAAAGAAGGTGGTGGAATTTATGTTCCGTGCTGCTGAGGGCAATGTGTTGAACTACATCTTTAAAAATCGAGAACTTCGTCCTTTGTTTGATCGTCAGTGGCATAAACTTGGCATTGGTATACAGTCCCGGGTCATTTCGCTCTATATGGATTGCAGTTTAATTGAGAGACGGCAGACTGATGAAAAGGATGCTGTTGACTTCCACGGAAGGACTGTAATTGCTGCACGAGCTTCGGACGGCAAGCCTGTGGATGTAAGTTTTGATGTCAGTTGTGAAAGAGAATTAATAACATTTCTAAATTAGAACAAAACGTCTTATTAGAGAGTCTTTCCTTTAATTAACATATAATATGTTCCTTCCTAGTCACTGTTTAAATTAATTTGCCATCAGAAGTGTGACGGCATTTTCATGTGTTATTATCTACTATCTACTTTTACCCATTTTCTTTAGCTTCTGGATTCAAAAGAACTAGGTCGTGCCTTAAAAAAAAAATAAGATTATTAAAATTAAATTTTAGTAAGAATTGAATATGATACAAAAACGTAAGTTTGGTCTAAGCTCATACGTTTTGAATAGAAAGGACTGGAAGAAGATGAACTTTAAATTAAATGATTCCAGATTATCTAATGTGTTCATTCAAGAACAATAGGCTATTTATTCATCCTCAGAACAGCAATTGCTTTGCATTGCAGACTACTTTTTTTATAAGATTATAGTGGTATCTCAGGGTTCTATTGGACTGAAACACAGCCACTAAATGTATCCATAGGTCATCTGGATGAGAGAAATTGCCTAGTACAACCCTTTCAGATGAAAAGGTCCTTTAAAAATTGCCTTTGATACACTAAATCCATTGCCATTGAGTTGACTCCAACTCATAACGACCCTATAGGACAGAGTAGAACTGCCCCATAGGGTTTCCAGTGAGTGCCTGGTGAATTCAAACTGCCAACCTTTTGGTTAGCAGCCGTAGCTGTTAACCACTATGCCACCAGGGTTTCCTGATACAAAGATAATATATATTTATTGACCTCCCTAGAGAAGAAGGTCTATAATCTTTAACAAGTGAGATATATATATAAATTTGATGATTACAATTTTTTTCTTGCAGAGAGAATGGTGGGAAAACCCATAAAAATAATTTTAATACAGATCGCCTGAAGGAAATGCAAATGATGTTAACACAAAGCACTTAACAGTTCAATTTTATTTCCAGAGTACAATTCTGTGCAAATATGTATTTTTCCAGCTTATTAATTTCTTAGGATTCCTGTAGGAGGAAATTATATATGTAATACATAATGTATGTGCGTGTGTGTATGTGTATATAATATGTATTTACTCAATTAATATTATTTTAAATTGTTTCCTCTTAGAGGTAGCAAGCACATCAGTGAGAATGTCAGAACTAGAGCTCAATGATGATCAGTAAAACAGTCCAGAGCAGAAGTAGCTAACCCTGTGGCCAAGACATCATGGCATCATGGAAAGCCAGTTGGCTTGGGTGTCAGGCTAATGTTGTTAGGTGCCACGGAGTCGGTTCCAACTCAATAGAATGAAACACTGCTGAGTCCTGCACTGTCTCCACAATCATTGCTGTGTTTGAGCCCACTGTTGCAGCCACTGTCAATCCATCTCGTTGAGGGTCTTCCTCTTTTTCACTGACCCTCTACTTTACCAAGCATGATGTCCTTCTCCAGGGACTGGTCCCTCCTGACAACATGTCCAAAGTATGTGAGACGAAGTCTCGCCATCCTCGCTTCTAAGAAGCATTCTGGCTCTACTTCTTGCAAGACAGATTTGTTCATTCTTCTGGCAGTCCATGGTATATTCACTGTTCTTCACCAACACCATAATTCGAAGGCATCAATTCTTTGGTCTTCCTTATTCATTGTCCAGCTTTTGCATGCATATTAGACGATTGAAAATACCATGGCTTGGGTCAGGTGCACCTTAGTCCTCACATTGACATCTTTGCTTTTAACAGATGTTTTTTTTTTTTTTATCCTGATTCATCTGCATAATTGTTATGATCTTGGCAAAGAATTAATTTATCTGAGCCTCAGTTTCTTCAATTGTAAAATAGAGCTGGTAAAGTTACTAGTGGTAATTGTATAAAGTATGTGCTGTAGAGTCTAATACATGGTCAGTTCTCTGTAAACTCATTTATCTGTTTGGACCAGACATTGCATTTAAGTGTGACAAGATGAGGGTGAAAAAAATGCTGTTCCTGCTCTTAAACATCTCAAAATCTAGTGGAAGTATTAAAGTCTATGTCAGTACATGGTAGCTGCTAATTGATAATAGCATTATCAGTTACAATGACAACACCAATACTAGACCGACCAGATGGAGTAGAGAAGTGGTTTCAGAAAGTTCCCTCAGAAGGCAAAAAGAGGAAGTGGGGACCAGCAGGTAGAACATCAGAGGGTATGACTTTCAGCAGTAGGTGGAGTGTAGGCAGATAGGAAGTCAGTTTCAGGGAATTCTAGCAATAGCAGTGGAGACCTTACCACAAGTACAGGAGTTGGGACTGGAATGTGTTCCTTATAAGAGCTGTGAGAGCAAGGTGGGCCCTGGCTCCAGAACTGGAAGAACCAAAGACCACACTGAGATAAATTCATAAGTGGGTCAGGAGCAGTAGGAGAGGAACCAGTTATTGTAAGAGCAGTATCCTGGCTTAGAGTTCAACCTCTGAATGTCAAATGTTCTGTGATCTGTGTCTCACTAACTTCCCACCCAAGGCAAGAATGTATTGCAGAACCTGAAGCTGAAGAATGTCAAGTGTGTTGTTATGAAGAGGACATAATGTAAAAATTATAGTATTGCAGTGATTTCTTGGTTCATTTGAGGATAAAATTAAAGGAATACCAAAATGATGCAGTGTTTTTAGGAGACAGTAACTGTTTATGTTAAATATACAAAAAAAAGTATATATGTTATATTTTGAAGATCTTTGGTCCTAGTAAAACTTTACCCACTGCTATCGAGTTGATTCCAACTCATAGCAACCCCATAGGGTTTCCAAGGCTGTAAATCTCTACGGAAGCAGACTGCCACATCTTTCTCCACAGAGCCGCTGGTGGTTTCGAACTGCCAGCCTTTCGGTTAGCAGTAAATTATCATCATCTCCCATACAAGCTCTCTGATTCATAAGATCTGTTGTAGTGTGAAAATGTTCTATTTATTCAAAAAGTATGTTATTGAAAAAAACAGCATTCTATTGATTAGGTTTTATTTTACATATACTATTTGTGTGCTTTTGTGAGAAAGAGATAGGTGACAAAACTGATATAAATGGATTTTTTTTTTTTTTTAACAGACAAATCTCCAGTGTGGCAAGAGTTAGTGCAGTCTTAGCCTTAAACATTCTCCTTCTAAAGTACTGTGTCAGTGAAGGATTCTAAAGTAACTAATAAATAAAGAAAGCACAATTAAACTATGCTAATTAGAGTTTCAATGTAATGGGCACTTGATTGGTTTCCAGTCCTTCGAAAGTTGATAATCTACTTTAGTTAAGTAAAATAATTCATATGAAGGGCCTAGCATACTGGATGGTACATAATAGGATTTCAATATTTATTGGCTATTTTAATAATGATGATGATAAATGAAATTTTTTAGTTGAGAAGAGTATTAATTAATTGGAGTCCCCATCCTTCATTCTGCATAATTGGTACGTTATTACCCAGTATTTCATTAGACGATATAAGACAGTGTATTTAAACTTTACAAATAAAAATTAACTGTTAATGACCTTGCAGAAAGTTAAAGAAAAGAAATCATTAAATTTCATTTAGTCTCAGAGTTTTATATAGGGTGCAAATCTTAGGCTGCTCAGGAATTCACAAAATTTTTGGAGTTCTCAATGCTTTCTATGAGGTGAATTGATTTTGTTCATCTCTGCATAGAGTAGACATTACAGACTTTTTTCTTCCCTTTTTTTTTTTTTGTTGTTGGGGTAGAGATTCAGAACTAATCACAGATGTCTTCTTTCTATTATCATAGGATTAGTTATTGTAATACATGTTACAATTAGGTCTTTCCGTAGAAAGTACTTATGGTCTTAAAGTAATGCATAATCTATTTCTGTTACATTGGGAAGCAAAGAAAGAGGTGGAGGAAGAGCAGGGAGAAGAAGGGGTAAGGAAGAGGTTGTTCCTGATGTATATTATATGTCATATCCATAATACTATCAATTGTTAATTAATTAAATTATTAAATTCAAACCACAAACTAATTTCACAGTCTCAGTCAATAACCACTCTTATATAAAGCATTATTTAATATAACATTTCAGTGCTTAGGGAATGCAAACACCATATTTAAGCATCTGTCATGTTGATATTTTATCAATAGTACATACTGTTTATTTACCTTTAGATGGTTGTTTGATCTTATATTTAAAGAAATGATTATATGTCCCTCGAAGTACTTTTAATTTCATGTCCAAATGCCAAAAAATGGAATGTGCTGAACAAATAGCAGGAATCAATTATTTTTGTAAAAGATTGTGAATCTTGTTCCAGATTATGCCAATATAATAGAAAATCCATAGGTCTTAAACAAAATACATGAAACATAGATACAAATTAAATACTTTTTTTTTTTCTTATTGGGAAGTGTACATCTGCTTCAATGCCTCAAATAGGAAAACTGGAACTACAGCTTATACTTTTGACATTGCTTTTCCTCCAAATTTTTTACTTTGAAATATTTCTTATTTTGTGGGCACACTTTCTTGCAATGCATGACAGAAACTCTCTTCAATTAAATGTTACTCTTTCATTGGTTTGAAATAATCAGAGTTTCCAATTGGTTTCATTACTTGATTTCCTTTATCTTTAGGTCTGTCTTCATAATTGAATCTATGTCTGTTTCTCAAAAGATCCATAAAATCATGAATCCAAAATTAAATAAAAACATTAATAGTATGTACCAGTAATTTATTTAGCTTCCTTTTTCTTTTAAATTAAATCGTCATAGTTCATAAGTGCCTAAATGTGATTCTTAAAAAAACAAAACACAAAAACTAACAATGTGTCTTATTATTAATTTTTTAATAGATTGAACTTCACCAACTTAAAATCTACTGTAACTCAAATTTTGTAGCTCAAGAAGCATGTTGTGAAATATCAGATACTAAGGTAAGTTTTTTTGGTATATGAAAAATGTAGCATACCAATTATCTTTTAATTGCATAGATTGTATAGTACAAATATAGAGCAGCACTGAGTATCTTCTGTTAAAGGAGACGAGTAATTTTATCCCAAGTAAGAGAATGTTCTTAGGGCTCTCCCATAGATTTTCCAGAATTTTAATGCCAGCGTTTCCTCCTGAACTTTAGGGATGATGTGTCCTCGCTTGGAACTCAACATAACTAAAAGGAAATTTATGCCTTTCTCCCTAAACTATATTTTTGACAGTAGCATCATCATTTTCCAGTCACAGAGGCTTTAAATCTTTGATCATACCTCATTCTCATTCATTTCTGTCTTCTAGCTTGTCAACCATCCTGGCTTGTTGACTTTTGTGATAGATTTTTCATCTACATCTTCCTTTCCCTTTTCACTGCTGTGGTCTGCCTTTACCTCATGCCTGAATTGTTGCTTTATCCTGTTAACTGCCTGTCATATTCCCAGTCCTTTCTTCCCCCAGCATAACCAGAGTAAGTCCCTGAAACACTACTCTGTGTATATGTTTACTTTTTCCAGCCATCATTTATTATTCAAAAACACAGATCTTCCAGACACTGCTAAGGAACAAAGCTAACAAACCCAAGTAAGGTACATTCCCTGCCCTCTATTCATCTAGTTCTCAAAGCTTTTGGTGACTTTGGGAACAAAATATAATTGTTAATTGGTTTTTTTTTTTTTTTTTAATTTATTTAACCACATTTTAGACTCTTTGAGAGGAGGGACTGTCTTTTATACATTCTCTTTTTCAGTCCTAGTGCTTTTGTGTAGTAGGTAGCCAAAACTTTGTTTCTTGATTTGTTGATTTACCAACTGCTAAAGAAGATAGGTGGGACAGAAGGGTAGTTGAAAGGGACAAATTCTAAAAATATTACAGAAAGTAAAGTAAAAAATAAAAGGCAAAAAATACTTTTTCTTTGTATCTTAGATTTTCCAAAAGTTCTGCAATTATTATGAAAAAATATATGAAAGTTTAATCAATAATGTAGTAATTCAAAACTATTATTTAGCTTCTGTAGCATGCTTTGGGAATGGTGGAATAAGAATGTACGTAACTGATTCAAAGCATAGCTAAATCTTTGAAACGTTGTATGTTTCGCTTATGTAACTTACCTTTGTAAAGCGTTATCTCTAGCTCATTTTATGGCTCTCATTCCAAGTAAAATGAAAGGCAGCCAAATAACTTTCTATAAATATCTGAAAAGATAATTTAGAATGCCAATCTACAGACCTGAAATACTTAGACTTCCTGGAGCCACATATTTAAATCTTGAAAATATTAACTCACCAAAGGTTTTTCTTTTTTTAATCATGCATTTTTGTTGTAAGAGCTCTTAAAATAATTTCCCTGATAGAAAAGTAACATAATGATATTTTTATATATTTAAATATTATATTCTTGGCCAGTATTCACTGTTTTTGTCATTAAATAATAGACATTTCTACCCAAATTATGAGAAAATTATTTCAGTATAGTTGATAATTTGGATGGAGTGATTTGATAATTAAAGGCAATGACATGACCTCACATTTTATGAAAAATATTTTGTTTAATGTTTTACAACAGATTATTTTAAAAGTAGTTTTAAATAATAGAAAATAAGATAGAAATTCATCCCCAGCTATGGAGAAAATACTAAAAGACTATGTATTTTCCTGCTGATAATATTTGGGAGATAATCGCCATTCATTTAATGATAATAGAAAATAGAAACGTGACATTTTACAAATGAAAATGTATAGTTTGGAAGATACATGATTATATGAATGCAGCTAAGTGCATTTGCTCTACTTTAGATACCAACTCTGTTTTTTTTTTTTTCAAAATGTTTTAAACTTGGAAATTTTTAATGTAATTGTTTAAAATCTAATTTTGTCTTGGGGTTTCAAGTCACACAGGTTTTTCAGTGTTAATATTTTATGGGGCATTTCAAAGGTGAAATTTATTCGATATAATCTGTACATGTGCTTCTTTGCTTCAATTAAATTAGAATTTCAGTTTCTGAAATAGTCAAGTTCCAGGACTAGGCACATAGACCAAATGAAGAGCAAGTATGAGTAGAAGGAGGAAATAAACAACATTTGTTGAAAATAGGTGAAATGTGATTAAAATTTTAAGGGCTAATTAACCAAATATGTGTCAAATTAAAACCAGAAGTTTTACAAGGGCAAGAATCCTTACTTGTATGTTTTATGTTCCCTTTAGGCACTCTTTTGAGAGTGTGGAAGCTTTATTGTGAAGCCTGAGACATCATCTTAAAGTTGTTTAAATCCCAAAATTAATATAGTGAGTCTACTATCTAGAGCAAAATTGTGAATCCTAAGAGGGTCTTTGTTATCTAACTGGAAACCCATGGGGCAAAAATTGGCTGGAAAATCATATCAAATCATGGAAGATAAATCAACTGTTTTGGTGATAACCTTATGTCATTCAAATGTGGCTTTTAGACTTGTGGACTTGGAATCATATTAAAATAACTAAATAGTTGATCAAATCTGGAAGGAGTAGATGTGAGAAAAACTAATGGTGAAGATAGGAAACTAGTTGCAGTATTTCTGGGTGCTATTTTTGTTACAGTTTTTTATTGTTAATTCTCACAAGTGTTAGAATGCTACCCATTTTTCAGAATAAATTTTTGTTACAAAAGTAATGCATATTTATTATAAAAAGCTTGAAAAACACAATTGAGTGTAAAGAAGAAAGTAAATACTAACCATGATCTCATCATGGTAGATAACCACAAACAAAATTTTACTTTTATATTCTGCCAATATTTTTCCATGAATATATGATTTTTAGTATACCAGATAACACACGAACCTTTTCCCCTATTGCTTTGCCTTCTTGAAATTGCAAATTTAGAGTTACAGACCATGATAAGGGGCCTGGTAAATGATGCTGAGAAGAAAGGATTCATTTATCTGCCTAAAATTCTCCATCTTGATTAACTATTTGAGAGAAAATAAGTTCATTGCTTTAGAATCAAATTTCACTTTGTATTGTCCAACATGTTCAGAATCCACTGGGTAAGTATAAAATCCACCACTTATCTGTGGTATAGGTGGAAACCTTTCTAATATCTTTAAAGGACAATAGAAGAGAATAAGTTATACTTTGATAACATAAACCTCATCTTAGAGTGTAAAAGAAGTATTTTATACTCTGCATGCCTTTACAGTCATCTTGTTGAAGTTAACTGTTTTAAAAGTTCAGATGATTTGCTTTTATTTTAATTTTTGTTCCTATAAGATATATTCAGATATTATTTGTATAATTTTATTATAACAATGTACCTATTATAAATTATTGGTATTACTGTACTTGTAATAAATAGTCACCTAATATACATGTTGGAGTCCTCACTAAAACCATATTTTTAAATAGATTTCCCTTGTGTTGCTGGTGTAATGAAACACCAAGAAGACTCAGTGGAATAGCAAGGGTGTGATAACCTTGACACACTGGTGTCTAGATCAGTAGGAAGGCAGTTCTTGCCGGCACCCCCAACCATTGTTTGGTAGGAGACACTGTTGGAATGTCAGAATGTTTAGAATTGGCCATATTCCCTAAATTTTCTTTCTGAATTTTAGTGTCCAGAGCAGGATGGCTTTGGAAGTACTGCATCATTATCGGTAACCGCTCATGCCAGTAAAATGTCAGCATATCTGCCAACAAAGCAGGAACTTAAAGACCAGTGCCAGTGCATTCCAGACAAGGTATGCTGGTTTCAAGCTTTCAGTGCTCACTGACAGGACACTCCAGAGAGTGAGTCTGGCTCCTTGAATATGGCCTCTGGTGCACAGAACGTATCTTGCCCTGCAATGCTAGTTGAATCAAATTCCTAAGCACTCAATCACTGGGGTGGGTTGAGAGAAGGGAACTGGGAAGAGGATGTCCTGGATTTTTACGTGGATAGTTCCGAGCCCCTTGGACCTCCCTTCAAGGGTGTGAATTGGAGTGAATAAAAGGGTTAAGTACTTTTACTTAATGAGTGCCAGGAATAGACTTCAGTTCTGGTAATTCACAGTTGAAGAAGACTCAGTGCCTGCTCTTGAACAAACATATACAAAGATACTCATATAATATTTCTTTGTTGTATAGAGACTGTATTTGTCCAGTATCCAGTATCCCAAAGTTCCAGCCACCTGCCTCCCTCTGCCACACATTATATGGGGAATATGCAGAGGGACTCTTTTTTTGCTTCACCTATACCAGTAGGGTGCCTAGCCACAGAGGCTGGGCCCATAGAGTTACATGGACTTCTTTAGTGGACATTAATGGCGATTATAAGGCCTACAGTAAGAGTAGGCTGAGTGACTTCTTAGTGGTTTTCTCCTGAGTCCACACTCAAGGACAAGAAAAAGGAGTGGAGAACTTGCCTCAGTTCCTAGAGCAGACTTTCCTCTCACACTGAGACCTAATAATTGTCTTTAGACTTGACCCATCCTGTTAACACTTGACCTCCTGGTTGGAGCAGTGGAGCTGGGGCTGGGGTAAAGTTTTAGAGGAGACTTCCATTTCCTCTAGTGACATTGTATAGTAAAAACCAAAACCCATTGTCATCTAGTCAATTCCAACTCACAGCGACCCTATAGAACAGAGTAGAACTGTCCCATAGAGTTTCCAAGGCTGTAAATCTTTATGGAAGCAGACTGCTACACCTTTCTCCTGCAGAGCGGCAGGTGGGTTCGAACCACTGACCTTTTGGTTAGCAGCTGAGCACTTAACTACTGTGCCAGTAAGCTCCATGAGAAAAGCAAGTACAAGGTGCAGGGGGCCATAGAAAAACAACACATAGCCCAGCTTGAAGATCCTGAAGAGTGAGCAATAGTCAGTCTCACAAACAAGGGAAGAAGGGCATTTCATTGGAGAACTAGGATCAACTCAGGGGAGAGAAAAAGCTGTATCTTATTATTTATTGTCAGCTTCACATTTATAAACAATTTGGCTTTAGGTCAATATGATGGAATTTTTTATAACACAGTAATTTATTTTTGCTCAGGGAGAAGCAGGATTGCCGGGTGCTCCAGCTTCACCTGGTGAGAAAGGGGATAAAGGAGAGCCGGTAAGACACAACCCAGCACTGTCGGGACAAAAGGGGATTTGTTCAAAAGCGAATTGAAAATGTGTTCATGTAATTTTTCTATGTTTCAAACAAATCTAACTTTCTGTAAAAGACTATCAAGGACTAAAATCAGAATACTTATCATTGAATTAAAGGATTCATCAGCATTCAAGTCTGCTTTTGAGTTCATATTGGAAGACTGGAATAAAATTTGAAAAGACCTGGACCCCAAATCTGTAGCTTATCAGCCTTAAACAAAATTATGAGGCAGGGAAGTTTAATTTTTAGTTGTTCCCTGGCCTTCTTTAGCATTCTCTTCTCCAGATACCCAGTAAAAATGATCTCTCTTCTTTTGTCTGTGGACATGTCCCCACTAAAGATTCTTTCACCCTCCCTGCACTTTATTTAAACAGCTAACCATTATTGAATACCTTCTGTATGTAAAGCATATTGCTGAGTGTTATGGGAGATATAAAGAAGAATAGGATATTGTCATGGATTGAATTATGTCCCCAAAAAATGTGTGTATCAATCTGGCTGGGCCATGATTCCTGGTATTGTGTGATTTTCCTGTATGTTGTAAATCCTACTCCTATGATGTTAATGAGGGAGGATGGGTGGCAGTTGTGTTAGTAAGGCAGGACTCCGTCTACAAGATTGGATTGTATCCTGAGGCAAGCTCTTGAGATATAAAAGAGAGAAGTGAGCAGAGAGACAGGGGGACCTCATACCACCAAGAAAGTAGTGCCAGGAGCAGAGCATGTCCTTTGGACCCAGGGTGCCCGTGCGGGGAGGCTCCTAGTCCGGGGGAACATTGATGAGAAGACCGACAGAAACAGAAAGCCTTCCCCTGGAGCTGACACCCTGAATTTGGAGTTGTAGCCTACTTTACTGTAAGGAAATAAACTTCTCTTTGTTAAAGCCATCCACTTGTGGTATTTCTGTTATAGCAGCACTAGATGACTAAGACAGATATATTCCCTATTCTCAAGGATTTTACATGTAGAAGAAGGCAGAAGCATCTTACCAGGCATACATGTTGAGTGTTTTGGGAGAGTTGCAAGTGTCCCGAGACCACAGTCTTGGGAGACTGGAGGGAGTTTCATGGAGGAGTTGGCTAGTGAGCTGGACCTTGAAGGATGTAATTCTAGGCGATATCCCACACTTAGAGCTTTGCCTTTCCATTCTCCCCACCTCTGTCAAAACTTAAGTGGCCTGTTTCTCATTCCTTAGAGTCACGTCTTTTTGTTAGTTAACCAGGTAAGTTAATTTGTGCTAAGGTTCAGAGTTGATTAGTTTTTTGTTATCTTTCCAAGGTGAAACCTATTTAAATTAATTTTGTGCCTTAACTTGGAAGGAAGTCCATGATTCTAAGTTGTTTATATAATCTGCTTGGACCTCTTATTTTGAAAGCAATGTCTGAGCAATGAATGATCCTTCAAAATTGCACAGCAAGCTTCAGGAAAGCCAGGAAGAGGACCACAGTCACTTGACTCCCAAGGGAATGTTTGCACGTTGTACCTTGTATGGGAACTTCAGGCAGTTCAACATGTGTTTGAGAAAAGAGGTTTTTTTGGGGGGGGCATTTATATTTGCCCTTTAAATCACATTATTGGGAGGGGGTAACTTTGCTTTCAATATCTAGTATGAAAATTAAAAATAATTAGTATCCATTCTAAGGACCACTCCAATCAAACTGAACATACAGATCGTTACAGCAATACCAAAAAAAACTCATTGCCATCGAGTCGATTCTGACTCATAGCGACCCTATATGACAGAGTAGAACTGCCCCGTAGAGTTTCCAAGGTACAGCTGGTGGATTTGAACTGCCCACCTTTTGGTTAGCAGCCAAGCTCTTAACCATTATACCACCAGGGCTCCAACCATTACAGCAATAACTATTATTAATTGAGTGCTTCCATGTGCCAGACACTGGACAGAATGCTTTAGATATGTTATCTTATTTGTTCCCTACAACAGCTCTTCATGTTAGCTATTAATATTGTATTACAATATTTTGTCATTTTATAATATTGAGGTGTAGGGAAGTCAAATTATTGTCCAAGGTCACATGACTTATAAATGGTCAAGCTGGGATCTGAACCCAGACCTGCTAACTCCAGTGTCCTCCTTTTAACCGCTATGCATTGTGAAGGCTGCTCTATTCTTTTAAAAGCACTTTAGTATTATTTAGTCATTTATGTTCTTTGATGAGAGTACTTCTACTTTTTACTTCTAATACCTTATTTTATCCTTAAACCCTTATAAAGAATCTTCATTTTGCAGCGGAGAGAATAAAGCATAGATAAAATGATGTGCCCAAGGTAACACAATTAAGAGGACTCAGAGTAGAAAGATTTCTGGATTAACTCCTCTTTCGTTAGCAGTGTGAACTTGGCCAAGCCACCCAGTCTCTCCATGTTTCATTTTCTTTATCTGTAAAGAAGGGTGTGTCATCTATGTGTTCTTCCTACATCATAAGGGTGACACAAAAGTGCTTTACAAAGGCATGAATTCACATTTCTTAACATAGTTTCCAGTTCTTTTACCAGTTTTATCAAGCTTAAAATCTACTGGCCTAGGGAGAAATTTCATATGTGTTGGTATTAGAGAGGGTACAGTACTTTAAAAATACCCCTACTGCTTTTAAAAATATTTCTGTGTCAGAAGTGTGGTTTTATTTGAGTAATTATTTAGAAAATCATTAAATCACCTTTAAATGCTTTAAAGAAAGATTATATACTGTGCCACTCTTGTTAGAGCTGATGAGATATGTATCTTATAAAGATGTATTCTTTCCTCCATACTCTTTAATCATAAGTAGATCTCCTACTTCAGCATCTGGATATTGATTCTTTTCTTTCCTGGCACTTGTAACAAACATGGATGTATGGTTCCATCTTAAGGAGCTGATGATGAGTCCATTCCTGTTCTTATCCTGCTATGTGTTCTTGTAACTTTAATGTGCAGTAAATAAGGCTTTCCTCTGGGTTTGATTGTGACCGATAATTTCCAGTATTGAGCAGGTGCACAAAATAATGCCTACATGACTTGAAGACTGAAAGCCATTTGGCTCCAAGGCATACTGAATAGTTAACTTTATGAAAGGATCAGAAGTACATTGTTACTAAAGGAACCAGATGTTGTTCTGAATGTTTTCATTTTAGCCTGTAAACCCAAGAAAGAATATTTGAAGGCAATAGGACGATATATTGAAAAGAGTACAACTTTGGAGCCAGAACCTCCTCTTACTTGCTTTGAAAATGATACTTACTAATACCTAGTCAATGGTTTATTGTGAAGAAGGAATATAATTTAATGTTTATAAAGCACGTAGTACCAGCAACTGGCACATCATAGATATTCAACAAATATGTTTCCTCTGTTTTCCTATCCACAGTGTAATTGTTCACATACTGAAGGAGTGGTAGAGATAATCCTCTTACAGTGAGTTTAATTTCTCATATGGTTTGACCAAAAATAAAGAAATCTTCATTTATAATACAATAAATCCCTTAGAATTTTCAGTTGATTAAATGTTTTACTGTATAAAAATCTTTAGTTATTATATTGTTACTTCTAGTAAATGTTAATGATTAATAGTTCATTTCTTCCAAAGATCACACAATGATTTGAATATTTCATTCAACTTTGTATCTTATGTTCCCAATATTAATTGACAAGACTTTTAGTGTATTAGTTTATGAAGCGATTTCTTGCATTGTTAGATAATATTGATTAGGAAATATCCAGACACAATTATAATTTACTTTTTCTCATTAACTATAAAATATATATTACTAATCTTTTGGTGCGTTTTACCATGCTGTATGAGTTAGACAATTTTTCTGAATAATCATGTAAGTAAATTCTGTCCCACCTAGACCAAAACCCACCAATGGCTTTTTATCTCTGTGTCAGTCATCTAGTGCTGCTATAACAGAAATACCTCAAGTGGATGACTTCAACAAAGAGAAGTTTATTCTCTCACAGTGCACTAGGCTACAAGCCCAAATTCAGGGCATCAGCTCCAAGGGAATGCTTTCTCTGTCGGCTCTGGAGGAAGGTCCGTGTTGTCAATCTTCCCTTGGTCTGGGAACTTCTCTGCGCAGGAACGTCAGGTCCAAAGGACGTGCTCTGCTCCTGGCACTGCTTTCTTGGTGATATGAGGTTCCCCTGTATCTCTGCTTGCTTCTCTCTTTTATATCTCAAAAGAGATTGGCTTAAGACAGTATCCAGTCTTGTATATCTCATCAATATAACTGCCGCTAATCCATCTTATTAGATCATAGTGACTGAATTTACAACACATAAAGAAATCACATCAGATTACAGAATGGTATGCAATACAATACTGGGAATCATGACCCAGCCAAGTTGACAGATATTTTGGGGGGCACAATTCAGTCCATGACACTCTACTCTTTGGCCTCCCAAAATTCATGTCCTTGCAACATGCAAAACATATTCATCTCATCCTATCACAGCAAAAGTCTTAACTCCAAGTCCAAAATCCAAAAATTCCTCTTCATCTGTGAAATCTAACAAGTTATCTAGTTCCAAAGGTACAATGGCAGAACAGGCACAAGCTAGACATTTCCATCAGAAAGGGGAGAAACTGGAGGAGAAGAAGGGATAACAGGCACCAAGCAAGTCAGCAGAACACATTACATTAGCCCTCAAGGCTTTGAAAATAACCTTCTGTTCTCTGAGACAATTTACACAATAGCCCTGCCCTCCAGACTCTAGGTATTGGCCACAGTCTCCGGGTTCTGAGTGGAGGCCTCTCAGCCCTGGGTTTCAGCTCTGCCTTCCAGGTCCACTGGGATGGCAACTCTCCTCTCTTGGCTTTAGGCACACCATTCTCCTAGTCCATCGGAGTGACAGCTCCACCCTTAGAAACACCAGATGCCATGGCTCCACCCTTTGAAATTCCTGAGGTCATGGCCATACCTTTTGAGACTGAGGCAGCTCGGCTTCTTGTGTTCCTTGTCTCT